GATCACTTTTCACTGAACATTACGAGAGAGTTTAAAGGTAATATGCATTTTAGAAGAAAATCGAAATATATAGCATACGACTGTCTGGAATTTTGTTTAATGCAAAAAGTGGTCGCCTGTGACGTCATCAAGATAAACAGTTTGAACAGTGTTGTGCCAAAGACTTGTAGAAATAATAATGATGATGATGATGGTGATGTTAGTTAAAAAAAAAATAATAATAAATGATAATAATGGTGATGATGATGATGATGTCAGTGAAAAAAAAATTAAATGAAAAGATAATAATGATGATAATGATGTAAATGTATTTATAATTATGATCATAATATACAGATAATAATATTGATAGCATTAAAGTAAAGGTTAAGGGATAAGTGATGATAAAGATAGTAAAGATAATAAAGATAGATGAAAATGAAAGCGATAATGATGATAATGATATTCAGATACATTGTAAATTTTCAAGTAAAAAGGAAATTGTTCAGTGTAAATAGGGTAAACTACTTTCCGATAGATCTTTTTAATCAGTTGATCATTCTATCGTTATGATAACCCGTTGTTGTTGTAACGTAGTCGTATTTCTGTTATCTTATTATTATTTATAAATTGTTATTTATTTTTTATTTATATAATTTATCTTTGATGTTATTATTGTTGTTGTTGTTATTATTATTATTATTATTATTATTATTATTATTATTATCATTATTATTATCATTATTATTATTATTGCAGTTGATGTTATTATTGCTATTACTATTATTATTATTATTATTATTATTATTATTATTATTATCAATATTATCACTGTTATTGTTATTATTGTGGTAAGTCATATAAAGATTCGAGAATTGCACCGCCATAGATGTCAGTGCAAGTCAAAACACGACTAAAAGAAAGAAAGAAAAGGTAAAAAATCACCAGCTATGTACGTCGTGAAGACATGTTAGCTGATCTTTTAAACTTACCAAGAGTCGAAGGTAATCTCTGAAGGTAATCTCTGAAGCCTACAAAAAGTAGTTAAAAAAAAAAACATCTAGATAACTGAGATGTTGACGATCGACTTGCATCAAATGTCATTGCATTGAGGGTCATGGAACAACTAGGTTTGATAAAAATTAGGTCAAAACTTATCGAGGAGGTGTGGGTTATTAGTGGTACGTTGTCTTTTTTTTTTTTTGGCTCCTTTATTTTGGTTTTGTAAATTTAGTATTCGGTTTTATTACAAAAAGAGAGTTATTTGATCCCAAACCGACGGGCATGGCATGTCCGTACATGAGTACTATTTGTCTCACCTGTTTACCCTTTTCTTTGTTTTTCGAAAATATTTTGTGTTATTATATTGACACTAGTAATGCCGATAACATTATAGTAATTATAATGTCTGTAATAAAAAAAATTGATATTGATAGCATAAGAAAAAAATATATATATAAAATAAAATAAAAAGTTTTTTCCCCGCGAATCCAAGGAAAGGTGAAATCAGGTAAGGCCACGAGATCTGGTTGACTCCTTTGTGACTAAGTACTAGTAGAGACATTTCACAAAAAAAAAACTGAAATGAGCACAGCATTTTCCCGGCGACGTTAGGTCATCGATATTGATAGCATACGAAAAAAAAACATTCTTTTCCCAGCGAATTCAAGGAAAGGTGAAATCAGGTTAGGCCACAAGATCTACTAGTTGATTTCTTTGTGACTAAGCACTAACAGAGCCATGACGTTGGGTCATGCACGACGAGTTATTAAGGAAATTTAGACGTTTCTTACTGTACTGTTGGGTCATGCAGGCGGCTGGTGTTGTCAAATGTGGGTTGTATGTCCATAGATTTAATTACAGGTCAATTCGCAGTGTGGGTATGTTTTTTTAAATAATTATTTTTTTTATTCATTTATTTTTTAATTATTATTACTTTTTTTTTCATTTATTCATAACTACATAGATTTGGGATGAAATGTAACTTTTTATACTGCTGAAACTAGTCGTTTAATTATTGTCATGATTTTATTGCAATTTTGATATCAATGTTATTATTGGTATTATTATTGCTGTTATTGCTATTACTATAATAACATGATTTTTTACGAGTAATTGCCTAAAAGAGGGAGAGGGAAAGAGAGGGACCATTACCCCCCTCACCCTTCAACCCCCCCCCCCCCACACACACACACAACATGTATCTTTTCCTTATCCATTTGTTCATTTTCCTCTATATTTATTTTATTTCTTCTGTGCTTCTTATATATACACCTTCAATTTCTTTGCCTTTATGGTTAATTTCACTCTGTTTACTCTTTCGCTTTCTCCCCACCTATTGTCATGATTTTATTGCAATTTTGATATCAATGTTATTATTGGTATTATTATTGCTTGTTATTGCTATTACTATAATAACATGATTTTTTACGAGTAATTGCCTAAAAGAGGGAGAGGGAAAGAGAGGGACCATTGACCCCCCTCACCCTTCAACCCCCCCCCCCCCACACACACACACAACATGTATCTTTTCCTTATCCATTTGTTCATTTTGCTCTATATTTATTTTATTTCTTCTGTGCTTCTTATATATACACCTTCAATTTCTTTGCCTTTATGGTTAATTTCACTCTGTTTACTCTTTCGCTTTTCCCCACCTTTTTTTGAATTCCAATATATAGATTATTTTTCCACTTTCCCTCTTGTTCGTTTTTTTTATTGTATTACCCTTACTCTATCACTCCCCCCCCCCCCGCCACCAACCATTTTTTTTCCTCCTTCATTTTTAACATATTCTCCCTCTTTCTTTTTATCCCTTCCCTCATCCTTTTACCCCCGCCCCCCCTCTTATCTCTTCTTCCTCTTGATTACCGTCCAAGAGCCTGGGTCTGAAGATTTACATTCACGTAACTCTTCAGTATCCTTTTTAGACCGAATAAACTTGTTTCAGGTTTTAATCCTCAAATTTCTGATTCCAAACTTCAAACCTTAAACTTCAAACCTCAATCCTTAAACCTTAAACCTCAATCCTTAAACCTTAAACCTCAATCCTTAAACCTCAAACCTCAATCCTTAAACCTCAAATCTCAATCTTTAAACCTTAAACCTTAAACCTCAATCCTTAAACCTTAAACCTCAATCCTTAAACCTTAAATCTCAATCCTTAAACCTCAAATCTCAATCTTTAAACCTTAAACCTTAAACCTCAATCCTTAAACCTTAAACCTCAAACCTCAAACCTCAAAACTCACACCTCGCTTCCCTTCTGCAGGAGACTGGGTGGGTGGCGGAGCAGGAGCCCAGGTGGCGCGCGGGCGGTCGCTGCCCTCGAGCCCCGATGCCCAGGTGGTCGTCCTGTCCAATGAGATCGACTCGTGGATGGCGCTGCCGGAGCAGTCCTTGGGCAACATGCCGTATCACCTCCATCAGGTACGTACGGGGGGGGGAGTTCCGTGCTGTGCCTCCTTCAGGTAAGTAAATACAAGTTTCGTGCTGGGTCGCCCTCTTCAGGTACGTACGTGGGGGGGAGTTCTGTGCCCTGTCGCCTCCTTCAGGTAAGTAAGTACGGGTTCCGTGCCGTGCCGCCTCTATCAGGTACGTACGAGGGGAGTTCCGTGCTGCGTCGCTTCCTTCAGGCACGTACGGGAGGAGTTCCGTGCCGTATCACCTCCATCAGGTACGTACGGGGGAAGTTCCGTGCTGCGTCGCCTCCTTCAGGTACGTACGATGGGAGATCGCATGATGTCGATTACGTGCAAGAAGGGCTTAGGGTGATAAGTATCGTCTGTCAATGTCTCTTTTTATTTTTCTCTTATTTGTTTCCCTTTTCTTTATTTTTCTCTTGGCATGGTTCTGTACGAAATTAGGTTTAGAAGAATATTTAGAATAGTTGTCGAAATAAGAATGTATATGAAATATATATATTGCTAAGAAAATTAAAAAGAATTTTTAAAAATCACACCGAGCTAAAAGGACCAATAGATAGATTAAAAAAAAACAATAAATAAATAAAATGATAATAAAAACGTCCCCTCGCCAGGTCCTGAACGCCCTCAACGGATCCGACACCGTGGGAGGCAGCGGCGGCGGCGGCGGCGGAGGCGGAGGCAGCGACACCGACAGGATCTTCCGGGGCTCCGACACCTACTGCGGGTCCTGCCGGGTGCTGTCCAAGATGGTGATCGGCTACTCGCGCCTCGGAGGCCCCATCGACATCATGGCCAATTTCCTGGTCAAGATCTGCTACATCGTGGGCTACCAGTCGATCGCCGTGTGTAGGGGACTCATCAACCAGGATAAGGTGGACAGAACGGGGCTTTGGGTTGGGTTAAGGGGTTGAAAGGGGGGAGGGGGGGAGGGGGTTGGGTTGGGGTTGGGGGTGATGGGGGGAGGGGGTGAGGGGGTTGGGTTTGGGTTGGGGGTGATGAGGGAGGGGGCTTGGGTTGGGGGTAAGGGGGGTGAGGGAGGTGGGGATGATCATCATAATATTGATCATGATGATCATAACAATAATGGTAATATTAATGTTAATAATAATACTATTGATAATGATCATGATAATAATAGTAATAATGATAATGATAATAATAATACAGTAGTGAAGATGATAATAATAATAATGAATAATTGAATAGAATAACAGAATATATTGATAAACGAAACGAGCTAGCCCTGGCCTTAACGACTCCCCCCCCCTTCACCCCCCCACAGGACCGTCTCGAGTGGATCCTGCAGAACACCAACGCGGACGCCGACGAAGTGTGCTCCCTCGTCCTCGGCAGTCAGGGGTGCGGCGTCTTCAGGAGGACCGCTTGGAGCATCACCTTGCCGCCGCCCGAGTACCCTTTGCAACATCAGCAACATCATCATCATCCACAACAACAAGGAAGGGAGGACCACAGCCGGAGTTTGGACTCTGCTCCGCCTCAGGTATGTTGCAAATTGCGGGGGGGAATGTTGAGTGGAAATGGTGTGATTTTGTGGGCGTGGCTTAAGGGAACTTGTGGATGTTGTTGTTTTGT